AACAGTGGAAGAATGGATTAAAAAACTGTGGAATATATACAGAATGGAATACTACTAAGCTATAAAAAAATGATATCCTATCACTTGCAGCAATATGGATGGTACTGGAAACTATCATGTTAAGTGAAGTAAATCGGGCACAGCGTTCCTAAAAGTTATAACTTAAGTTATTTTCAGTTATTATGTTTAATATGATAACTGTAAAGATTAATTAATTACTATAAAAAATCTAAAGCAAACCCTGACCAATTCACACTATTTTGTATTAAGGACTCTCACTAAAGCACCAACTTTCAACAAAAGCTCTTCTAGGAAAAGAAATTTAGGAGTCCTTGGATGCAAGATAATGCACTGTGCTCTCATCTATTCTATGCAATAAAGTGCACTGAACACAACATCTTGGAAAGAGTCCTGACAAACGGGAGCAGGTCAAGAAGAAAATGACGAGGATAGTAATGGGATTTCAAATTATGAAATATGAAGAACAATTACATAGAGAAATATTTCACCAAGAAGAAAAATTGATAGTGGTTTTTCCAAACATTTGAGAATCAGTATATAAAGAGTATGCACGAGGATTAAGATGGCGACAGGTCTGGAGCGGCCGTGCCAGGAGACAGCGCGATCCTGAGAGCTGTNTCATCTATTCTATGCAATAAAGTGCACTGAACACAACATCTTGGAAAGAGTCCTGACAAACAGGAGCAGGTCAAGAAGAAAATGACGAGGATAGTAATGGGATTTCAAATTACGAAATATGAAGAACAATTACATAGAGAAATATTTCACCAAGAAGAAAAACTGATAGTGGTTTTTCCAAACATTTGAGAATCAGTATATAAAGAGTATGCACGAGGATTAAGATGGCGACGGGTCTGGAGCGGCCGTGCCAGGAGACAGCGCGATCCTGAGAGCTGTGCGCTGTGATACCAGAGTATTAATTGCATTTCCAAGAGCAACAAAAGGCGAATAATTCTTTCAACAACGATCCTACATCGACAAACAAGCAGCAGCAGGTTCGAGGTTTTGGGGCCGATACAGAAGAGGACTCCTGAGAGCACCCAAGCCCGGCTGTGGGAATGAACAGGCAGCCCAGACAACAAAGGCCAAGAAAGCCAGCAGAAACTGTGCAGAAACGGAGTGAAACACGCCAGACCAGCCCAACTCTGCGAGCTCTGTGAGTCACCCCCAGCCCAGCCCCACTTGTGGGGTGAAGCCCGACTGCTCCCCACCCGCCTGGCTCCCGCCTACCACACCAGGCTAGGCGCCCACAACAGAGCAGCCTCCATTATCTCAGGTGGGGGTGGAGAAGGCTGGCTTAGTGAGGGCAGGCCAGCCATCTCTGCTTGGCGTGGCTCCTCACTGAGACGTGCTAT